ATATCAGCCTGTCCTTGGTGTACCCCACCACCTGCCCTTTATCCTTGGGGATAGAAAGTATCCCCGTACAGAAAAAAGATGGATGGTTAGAGTAAGGATTTTCAATTCTACCAAAGAATAGAAAATTAACATTTTGTATTCTGGTAATTATAGTTGGCAGGTCAGAGCTTTGCAAAAACCGCAAATTGGAGCAATCTCAAAAAACTGCAGTCTGTCTGTTTCCATTTAAAATGCATGCATTATACTAGAGAAAAAATAAATTCTATTAATTTTATTAGTGGTGTTTTAGGTTGAAAAATATTCACAAAGCTATTACGTAATGTTCATTGTATACGATACGACCTGGGTTTTAAACTAATGGCGGCACGGTGGCTCATGGTTAGCACTAATGCCTCAAAGCAAGAAGGTCCTGGGTTAGATCCCCAGTTAGACCCGGGGTCTTTCTGTGCAGAGTTTGATGTTCTCTTATGCATGTGTGGGTCTTACCCTCCCTCTGACCAAAAGCATGTGCAATAGGCTGACCCCAGGTGATCTCAATGGACTTTGCYTGGTTAAAAATAAATAATAAAAAATACTCAGTGAAGCTAGTCACTTAACGTTGTGTCAGAGAGCATTATTTTAGGTCAGCAGTGTGAAGTAAACAATATCACAGTTGCACTGAACATCAGGAGATCATTGACAAAAAAATATTTAGTCACGTTATTTGAAGGCAAACAAACGAGCACCAAAAAATCAGTGGTTTCCCTTCAAYGTGCCATGTGAAAGAGAAAATGTGAATATCCTTCTTAACCCTCACTGTTAATCCAAGTAGGGGCAGCTGAATATGACTATTATCAGACATATCTGAAAAGTTCTTATAGAATATGATACTGATGAAACATACTTTCCACCTCCACCATGAGAAATCCCACCACAGGAAAAAAAAGAATAATAAAGACAGCTCCAAGGATCTATGCCAGTTCAAGCCAAACATTAGAATTTGCAGTTTTGCAGCAAGAATCCTCAAGATTACAATGACAATGAGGCACTGACCCCTAAAATACCCAAGTTCCCTTTCAAAATATACTATAATGTCATTGAAATAAATGAAACATACACGCTTTTTCAACTAAAAATGAAACCGTGTTTAACTCTAAAAAAATTGACATGAAAAGATTTTCAAGCATCCTTCTTATTGTCTTTTGCTTTATCCCATTAAGTGCTTTTTTTCAGAAATTCTTGAAAATAAATCTTGTCTAGCCTTATCTGTCCTTCTCTCTCCCCTAAAAAAAGCAGTGTTAAGGTGAGACAGGAGCAATCCGTCAGTAGTCCACAAAGTCCTGAGTTCATCTGAGAATGTGCTCCAATCTTGTTTCTACATTTTGTTGCCAATGCAAAGACATAAATCACCAGACAGAACATGGCAGCACTTGCCTCATTCTGCCCACTTTGCAGTCTTACTTCCACTCTTCAAGCTTGAGGACGTAACAGCTTATGTCCGTTTATCCCTAAGCAGGGGTTTCCTTGTCCTTCTGTGTCACTCCTTTCCCTGCTCTCATTTGGATTCTGKGCAGAGCTCTTTTTGTGATTGTCCTTTATCATCTTCCAGGTCTACTTGACATGAGTTGGAGTTAGGCAAGCTTTATTTTATTTCTTAGTGATCGACCTGAAAATAGTGCAGTTCTCATTTCCCCGTGTCACTTAAATCAGATTAGACTTTCTTTTTCTTTCCTTTTTTTCCCTCTGCCATTTCATTTTGATCTTGCTTTGATCTGTTCAGTTGTAGCACCACTCCTGAGCTGTGGTGGACTCCACCTGATCTCATGTTTGATGTCGACTTTTCATGTGTCAGAACACCATTTTGTGCCTCCTGGCACTTTTTTCCCCCCATTACATTTTGTAACCTGGCAACACTATAAGATAACACATGCTGTCTTTTTTTGTATTTCTGTAATATGTTCATCCTTTAAAAAAATATGTGTTTATCAAACTTATCTTTATCCTTAAACATTCATGCTCATCTCTTGAGATTTGATATGTGCATTTTAATAAATGAGTGGAGTCAATGCAGTAGCCAGTTTTCACACTGAAGTCAAAGAGGATTGTCCTTTTTAGTTAGGATTAGGATCTTTTGCCAAACTACTTTGTCAGATTATTGCAAATCTTGATTTTTTTTATAGTCAGCTCTGATATTGTTTTTCTTTGGTAGACACATTTATGCCCTTTAGCATCAATCATGCAACTGACAAGTTTCCAAATGCCAGTCATTGAGAAAAAAAACATAAACAAAGACAAAGACAAAAAAATAAAAAATAAACTAAGAAAATGCCAAACTTTTCAGAAAAGCATTGTGCAGTTCTTGCTCAACATTAGAATCCTCCAAAGTCAGATTTTATGGTTTATGTTAATATTTTTGCATTTAGTCCACACCTTTTGAATCTTTTTGCCCTTCTAACTAAAAAAGTAAATACATTTTATTCATAAAATCTCAGAATTCACTTTATTTAACTGAGAACCTACATCACCATTCTTTGACTATACAGTATAGTAAATCATATATGATCCTATATATATACAGGTGCTGGTCATAAAATTAGAATATCATGAAAAAGTAGATTTATTTCAGTAATTCCATTTAAAAAGTGAAACTTGTATATTATATTCATACATTGCAAACAAACTCATATATTTCAAATGTTTATTTCATTTAATTTTGATGATTACAAATGACAACAAATGAAAATCTCAAATTCAGCAT